TACTCGAATACACCGGCAGAGTAACGAGCATCACATTTCTGTTATCTTCAACACCGTCAATCGTCGCTGTGATAAACCCGCTTCTAACGCCACCTTCACCCTTTTTCTTGCCCCACACGCGCGAGAGTGTCCCGAGTGCCTCCGTCCAAGACTCCCCCTTGTCACCGGACTCGTACACCCTGCGGCGGCCATCATCACACGCAGTCATCATCATGAGTTTTTTGTCCTTCTCCCCCCACTCCACAACGGAGGGATCACTGCAGTCACCGTCAGGAACCTCCTTCGATAACTTCCAAGTATTAGTATCCTTCAAGGTGTATATGAGCAGCGAAACGGCCTTTTGTGCTTCACCTTCCTTTTTCGTGCCTTCCACTGGGAACACAAGCGTATCATCATGCATCTTAATACCCGATCCACCGCCGCCAATCAGTCGTGTCAAAGCTACTTTTTCTTTTTCAACAGTAGAAATGCACGGGACGCCAGAGGTATCTCCCCAAATAATACTGTCACTGCTCCCACCACCAGCCTTTCCTTTCACCAGCAAAAGTTCCAATATAGCCGCGTCAGATGCAGTCTCATGAGAAGAAGCGTCATCTGCACTGCTGTATTTCCCAACAAGCATGTAAATATCATTTTCCTTCACAACTGTTGCCGGTCGGTTCACATGTACTTTCGTTTCGCTTTGGGAAACAGCATGGTCATCTGGTTGGGAGGCGCATTCCGCTTTATCGGATGGACATTCCACCAGTACTTGTGTCTTCACTTTACTCGCATCCAACTCCTTTGTTTGCCTCCTATCCAATACCAGGATCTCCGAGGCAATCCCAGTAAAAACCTTGTCATTCTCCGTGCACTGCGCCTTGGCAACGGCAAACACTTTACCATTCACATTAAGAAGACTGGGAGCATAGAGCGAACCCACTTTTTCTTCTTCTTTCTTATTTCTCCAAACAAAATGATTTTCCGGTAAAGATCGTGGGCCTTGCGCCGGTGCATCAGCTTCAACACCACCAGTGTTGCAGCACATTATCACAACAAGGAGAAGGAGAAGCAGCGCGGAATTAAACACACGCCGGGACATGTTGAGCCTCTGCGGCTCACTCTCTCTTCCTTCCCTCCTCCTTCCGCTGGATCCGGTCACGCGGCGACGGTTGTGTGTGCAGGGTGCCATGACAGCTGCAGCAACACGTGAGAGCATATAAATATGTGTGTGTGGGCGGTGTGTGTGCTGTTGGTCCTTTCAGTGCCTTACAATCTCACAGCAGCCTTTAGCGTTTAGCCTTACTTCCTTTCCCTCTTGTGTGTGAGAAAGAGAGAGAAGAGGAGAAGGAGTGAAACAGTGAGCACCGCCACCCAGAGTGAGTGGCATCATCCCCACCGCAGTCACTCCCAACAACAACAACTCACGCACACAGACACACGGAACGAGAAGGAAGAACAGTGCACCGGGAACACACAGCGACTGCCACCAGCAGTAAAAGCCACAGCGGGTATCTTGCGCTTCCGCCACGCGTCAGCACAAACCGAAAAACGCCCGCGCACAAATCAACCGGCAGAATGCAAAAGACAACAGCCGTCCTTTTCAAAGCCCACGCGCTCTCGCCAGTCATTTTACTGTTCACCCTTCCAGAGCACCCTCCAACACACATCACCCCATAGAGGCAAAGAATCCCTGACCAAAGTATACACAGCATAGGAGATACACATTCGCACGTGCAGCTGGACGAGAAGCAATCCGCACTTGTCCCAGGCTCCTTAAGCCACACCACCCAATCGACTGCACGCCTGCAACGTGTCAAAAAATAAATCGCAGGCTCCCATCCTCCCTCCTCGCAAGGGGCTTCACAGCCACAATCCTGTGCGTGCGTGCGTTCACAACGCTCTACAGAGTATGCATAATGGCGTGTGTGTGTTCATGTGTGTTTGTCAGTGGATATACTTGCAGAGCAGCTGTGCGCCACAAGAGAGTCTGAAGAAAGCAACGGCAGAGAGAGGCAGATAGCACACACGCAAATTACTCATATCATCGCACAAACACACACACGCAGCCGCGGAATGGGTGCACTCAACCACAAAATCAAAAAGGAAAACAAAACAAGAAGCCGAAGCGTGGGACGACCAGCGCACACACTCTCATTACTCCCGTAAAGCAAAACACACACACAGAGGGAGAGAGAGAGGTCGCCCACTCAATGCAATAAAAACAAAACAGAGACAGTTACGGTGCTCCGCCCATGCAGCCAGGCAGGACGGCAGCGGTGCGTGTCGTGCAAAAGAGAGCACCAACGGGCCTGCATGGGTGTGCATGCATATATACAATGGGCACATTATGCGTGTGCCTCGTGGGGTGAGGTGAGGGCGAGAGTCCATGCAAGGGGACACACACACAGAGAGAGAGAAGGAAGAGTGTGTGTGCGGGCGGTGCACGGCTCTCTCCCTCACTCTCACGCGGCCACCACCGCAGCCGCAGCCGCACACGCAACAACAAGAAGCAAAAGAGGGGAGGTGGTGTGGGAGACCGCGGTGCTGCCGTCACTGTCGCCAGGTGTCGTCGTATGATTTGTTTGAGCGGTGCGTGCTGATTGAGGTGATGCCTCACTCATTTTGACGCCGCTGCTTTCACCGTCTTTAGGCAGCGTCATGAAAATTGTTTGAGTTGTAACGGCCGGTGCGGCTGTGGAAGTTTCCCGAGGTTGTTCCAAGGAACGAGTGACATTTTCACGCTGTTGTGCTTCTTCTGACGGTGCGGCAACAAGAGTTTCAGCACGCCTCGAAGTATCTTCTGTGCGTTCCCCACTATTACGGCTGACAATATCGTTGTTACTTGAAGGAGATGGCGGACCATTACTCTGTTGATTTGCAATTGTTTCATTCTTCCCCTCCTCCTGACCGAGTGACGCCTCCGGTTCCCCTGCAGGAACTCCGTCTGGTACATTTTGCAGCTGTTCTCCCGATGGCTTTGAAGTTGTCGATGAAATCGCATTTTCGGCACCGGAGTGTGTCTGCTGTATTGTTGGCGATTGAGTCTGTAAATCAACTTGCAATTGCGGGGACCCGGGTGCGGAATTCCCAACCTTATTCAGCTGTGTTTGCTCTGCGGAAGGGTTTCCCGCTACACCAGACGACGTCTGACCGCTGGCATTGTCGGGAGCTCCAGAAACACCGCTCGCAGAAATAACAGATGAAACGGCAACAGGTAGCACCTCGTCACATCTACCGCCGGCACCGCACCACAGCACGCAGAGGGCACACACCAGCAGCACACGGCCAGTCATCATCATCGCCACCACTCCTGTCACTTGCGTGCAGCCTTCAGCACAAACCAACAACACGTCAACGCAGAGCAGAAGTAAGAAGAGAGACAAGTCACACAACGACGCAGCATCACAAATGACAGCAGCCCAGCGCACACACACTACGAGGCAGTTGAAATCAGTGAAAGGTCAACAACACACAACGCCCCGCAGCAAGTAAACAGAGAAAACACACAAAGCAATTAAAAACAAAACACAGGTAAACAAATAGCAATAAAGTAAAAAATGTAAACACACACACAAAAAGGGCTGCACAGTATGGCTCCAGTGTGCATGCACCCACACACAGACACGCGTCCACGCAAACAGCTGTGTGCGTGCCATGCGTATGAGTGTGTCTGCGATGCGTTCAACGTGACGGATACGGAGGCAGCAACGTGGAGCACACAGCAGGGCAGCGGAAGAAAATGAACCAAAACACAATTATTATTTTCTCTTATTTGTTTACATCGCAGCACAACACACGCGCACAAATCCCCGTGATTGAGTGCTGGCACGCACAGCCCTCATACAATTCTTCAGCCCACAGTGATGTACGCCAGCGCGGATGCGGCGAGCAGCAGCGGGGCACACACCCACGCAGAGCTGCTGAGGCTGCCGTCGATTTTTCGCAGACGCGACGGTGCGCGGGTCGTCGTCGTGGTTGGCGCCTCTGTGGTCGTAGTACTTGTTTTCTCCGGCGCAGTGGTGGTGATCGTGGTTGGTGCCTTTGTTGTGGTGGTCGTTGTGGTTGTCGCAGTTGTCTTAGTGGTTGTCGTATTTATTGCATTTGATTTGTTATTGTTGTCATTTGCGTTATCGTTCTCATGACGATCTGCCTCTTCCTCAGTAGATTTCTCATCTTTTTCCCGATCCTGTGCCTGGCTGAGATCACTTTGTGACTCTACTGTTACTTTCCCTTCCTCACTTACCTTCGGCGGAGGAGGAAGTGTACTCTGTGAATCCGTTACCTGCATTGGTTTCTCTGGCCTATTATCCTTTGGAACGGAATCTTTTCCAGAACTACGAGCTATTTCTTCCATTGCTGCCACGCACAATAACGGGCAGCAACACAGGGCAAGCACCAGCAGGGCGCACAGCAGACGGCACGTCATCATCGTGAGTGTGGTCGTTCAGTGGTGTGGAGCTGATCTGCACAGTGAGGGAAATGGAGAGCAACAGGGGAGACGAGAGGTGCGGCAGACACACACAGAGGGCACACCACACGAGGAGAGGGCAGCAGCCAGGCATGCACCGTACGCCGCACTCCACGCACGACACACACTCCAATCCACGGCAGCAGGCACACACACACACACAGCCCTGCCGCAACAACAACACACAGATGGAAGAGGGAGAAGCAAACAGGAGCGGCACACAAGGCTCCACCGCATGCACACACGGCGAGAGCGGTCCGTCGTGTCGGCACCCCTCACGGAGGGTGCGCACACACACAAGAGGAGGTGCAGCGCACACAGCAACACAAAAGCAAAGTAACCATAAAAAAAAGGAATAATCCCCGCACACCACGTGGATTACTCGTTCACGGAAAGCACAGTCAATATTCACCACAAAGCAGCTTATTAACTTGTTTTGGTTGTACGCTGCTACAGTAACGAGTGAGTAGCGCAAGGGCCGTCCGTACAAAAGTGGCAAGTATTCCGTCGTGCGGGCTGGGGCAGTCACACACAGTCGCAGTCCATATTCTCAATGACAGGGCATTTCTGCAGTGGATGAAGCGGAGTCTCCCGTGGTCCGTCGGGGATCAGCAGCCCGTGGCATCCGTGATGCGGCGGTGGCGGAAGAGCCTGGTCCATCTCGAGTACCCGCGGTTGTGCTTCCTGCGTGTCTTGCCTTCCGGCATGCTTGGCAACTTCGGTGGCGACAGGCGCCTCGCGCGCCTGTTAAGAAGACGGTGGCGCCATTGCGGCATCCACATGTGAGGCCTTCGCTGACTATCGGAACGCCAGGCTGAGCACGTCGGGCGTGTGCCTTCATACTGTGGACGGAAAAGCGCACTCTGCCGCAGGTTGGGCAGGAGGAAATCAATCCGCCGCTCGCTGGTCGACAAGGATTTGCGGTGCTCACGTCGGGAGGAGGTTCTGGCGGAGGCAGAGGCGGGCCGGTCTCTTCAGTAAGAAAGGGACGGCACCACCAACACAGGGGGTTATTTGTGATACGGAGGGCACGCGCAGGCATGTCGAGGAGTGGGCGGGAGTCGCACCGTGCCTGTGCGCAGTGCCGCCACTCGGGGCACGATGTCTGGGTCAACACCAGGAATAGAGTCCCCGCCACACCGACAAGCGCCTCTCATGCGGTGGACGCGCCTTCCTTTTCCTCCTGGACATCCTTCCAGTACGGCCACCTGACTGCAGTGAAAAAGTCCACGTGCCAGGCATTGACGCAGCCCTGCGGGAGGGATCGCCCCACGACGGCGTCAGCGTCCGCTGTCGCGTTGCGTGGGATTCCGCAGTGTGATGGGAAAATACGGAGCCAACAGTGTGACCTCGATCCGCCAGTGAAAGCGGCGCGGTACAAATCTCCTCGGTGACGCCGTCGCGCACCGCCAGCGAGCCAAGGCGGAGCGACTCCATCGCCGAGAGGGAGTCTGTGGCGACATGAACTGGTGTGAGCGATTGGGATGCTGCTGCCAGGCGGGGAACTGGGAAGTGTCTGTGGCCATGCTCAGTGGCAGGACACTCTGCTCGGCAGGAGCATGCGAGGCTGCCGGCAGCTGCGCGGTGAAACCCCACAGGGAGATCAGTTGTCGTGGTGGAGCCGTATAATAGTGCAGCGGATCCAGATGCAAGCTCAGTGAGAGACAACAAGTCGTCCGTCCAGCGGCCTGCGTCATACGTTCCCAGAAAAGCGCAGGCCGCTTCAAGGGCCGATCGTCTGACACCGTTCAGGGCGTCCTTGGCATGCCGTGGCTAGAAGACGCTCACCTCGTTGCAGCTCACAGTGTCGCGGACGAAAATCCGGTGCTCAGCATGAGGGGCGCGGATGTGGTCCGGGAGATCACCATGTGGCTGCAGACGCGTCGTAGTTCCTTGAAGACAGCATCTCTCGGAAGCGGGATCGATGTCGCCGCTTTCCATGCATGGACGGCGGCATGGCCTCCAAGCACATCACGCCACGCACGTCCTCAATATACCAAAGTGTGAGGCGTTCGTGTTGTGTGGGTGCGTGGAACCCAATGATCCTTCGCAGCGGTGCTGGATTGGCGGCCAGGTGGACAGAAGTATCCTTCGTTGATGCGCGTGGAACGAGCGATGCAGTGCAGCTGTCGCGATGTCGCACTTCCAGGCTGTGGAGGTGAACGGGGGCCGGACACGGTGCGATTGCCTCGCCGCCGTGGTGCAGCGCATTGTGGACGCACCCAACCAGAAAGTATCGCGTGGTGTGCTGGGACGCCCCAGCCTCTGCACCCAGCCGCAGCTGATGGCGGCGTGGCACGGTCCGCATCGCAGTCCAACTAAAGCATTGTTTTTTCATTTGCATTGTGGTGTGTGACGAAGGTGCGTAGGAGCTTCCCGAACTGGTTGGAGACTTGCGATTCTGAAGAAGCCGTTGCAGTTGCACAGCGTCGTTTTGAGGAGCAGGTGAGTGCCTCCGCATTAATCAGCAAACAACATCTCTGATGACAGCAGGAGGCACTGCGGTTTCTCCTTTTTTTGCAAAGCGAATTTATTGGACGGTGTGTTTGGTTGGCAGCTTTTGTGGGAGAAGGTGGGAGGCTGAGGGCATTAGGACTGAATTCATTTGAGTGGCTGCGTTACGTTGAATTTCGGCCAGTCGTGGCACCCTTTTGGGGTTTGACAGCTGTCTCTTTTGTTTACTTCCCACTGCAACACGCGGATAACACCGATCCGAGGAACATTTGTTTGACCGCGTGTGGGCTGCTGCCGTGCGTGGTGCATGGACTATGTGATTGTGTGAGGAGGTGCGTTGGGGTGACGAATACTTCTGTTTGGCGTGTCGCGGTGTGTCGGAATGGTGTTCGGATGAAATGTGGAGGGCGTTGTTTGTGATTTGTGTGTCTTCTCTGGTGGAGCCGAAATGTGTGCGGGGATTGTGGCATTGCTGGCTGACGGCTCCACGTCACTTTTCAGCATTCCTGGATGTGCTGAGGAATGACGGCTGGCGACCAGCGTGTTGGTGCTGCTGGTGGGAATAAGTGCATCGGGAATGGGCCATTTTCTGTTTTCCGTGCTGGAGCCGATGAAGTGGCACGAGGGCACCGGCTGTAGGCTGCCTGCCAGCACTTGTGAGCAGCGGATCCATGCACACACCGACGCTCATCGCAAGAGCGTGTGTGATCACAGTGGCTTTTGTGGCGTGCATTTATGGACGTCAGCCCATCGAAGAATGTGTGGACCAAACGGCTGACTGCACACGAGGAAAATAAGTGCGTGCACTGTGCCGTGTTTCAGCGTCGATGGCAGAGCGACATGAAGCCCGTGCTGGCAACTGAGATCTTTGCGTCGCGAGGGATGTCGGTGTTGATTTTGGATCGTCGAGGGTGAAGTGATTTTGCTGCTGCCCGTGTGTGTGGCCACTCCGGCGGAGGGCGAACACAAAATGGAGGGATGCAGGCGCTGCGTGTGTGTGTGTGCAGGTGCCATGCAACAACGTCACAACAAACATGCTGCGACTCGGTGACCCTCACATCGTTGTAGTCCTCACGAACGGCTGAGGCACGGCCCACATCGATGCACTCAGTGGACGGAGTGAGGCATCTTTTGAGGCGCTGCAGGGAGCAGGATGTGTTGACGCAGCCACGACGTGCATGGAGTGTCACGATTGCACAGTCAGCTGTGGCTGGTGGAATATTTACTTCTCGGAGGCAGCAGAGAGAGGGAGAGGGCTGCTCCTGCTGCTGGCGTCGTTGCTGCCCCTTGTAGCCTCCCATGCCGATTATTGTCTGTCCGCTGATCATGGGTGTCATGCCTCCACTAGTGACGTCGTCTGCAGGCATTTCACAGCACCAGTGAAACACACATCACGTCGCATGCCTTGGCTGTGGATGTGGTGTTGTGAATGCAGCCGGCATTATTTTGCCCGACTCCTTTTCACTGCTTTGCGACAAATAGATGCGTCGCCGCCGAGTCATCCACTGCAGCTCTGTGTGTTGTACTGCCAGCACAAGACTCTCCTGCTGTCTGACGCCTGGCTGACAGTCCAACACCACTGCGTTGGGACATGCAAGGATGTGGACTGCCGCTCACGGTGTTGGGCACCGCTGTTTGGATGCGGCGGCCACACGAGCGGATGCATTGTGGCACAATGAAATGCGTGAAATACGCGGAACCACAGCGGCTGCAACAATATCAGCGGTGTGGCACCACGGAATATGTGAGGGGGTGATGCATGATGAATCACGGTGGGCGGCATGCGAGGGAAGTGCACCGCGACGGTGCGTCATTCCGCCCTCAGCCTGCAGGGGAATGTACGCCCACAAAATATATGGCCGAGACACCACCAAACACACATGCCCTTCCATGCACCAATAAATAGGAGCGAAGGTGCGTTCTGGTGTGTGGGAGTCCACTCAAATATTTTAATTTCCACCGCAATAAGCGTTGAGGAATCATGTGCCACAGCAACGAAAGGAAAAACAAACATCTATTGCAGCACTTTACAAGCGAAAGGCAGGAACAACACACACCGAATTATTGGCTGCACCAACACAAGAAACATTCACAAGTGGGAAAAACAAATAATTGTGCACCTTGCGGAAATTCTTGAAACACACGATCCAGGCATGAAGGTTTACCCTCTGCAAAACAAAATATGCAGATATCTGCCAATATTCAAAAAGAAAAAAAAAATAAATGGTTTCCTGCACTCTTCCATTCCTTGCGCTGAATATGAACAAAGGCCAAAGGCAACTGAGTTGCCTTTGTGATGAATATTGGCTAGCCTTCCCGTGGACCAGCAATCCACGTGGTTTACGGGGATGTCCTTTTTATTGTTACTTTGGCCTTTTGTGTTGCTGTGTGCGCTGCACCTCCTTGTGTGTGTGCGTACCCTCCGTGAGGGGGTGCCGACACGACGGACCGCTCTCGCCGTATTTACATGCGGTGGAGCCTTGTGTGCCGCTCCTGTTTGCTTCTCCCTCTTCCATCTGTGTGTTTGTGTTGCGGCAGGGCTGTGTGTGCGTGGTGTGCGGCGTACGGTGCATGCCTGGCTGCTGCCCTCTCCTCATGTGGTGTGCCCTCATGTGTGTGTCTGCCGCACCTCTCGTCTCCCCTGTTGCTCTCCATGTCCCTCACTGTGCAGATCAGCTCCACACCACTGAACGACCACACTCACGATGATGATGACGTGCCGTCTGCTGTGCGCCCTGTTGGTGCTTGCCCTGTGCTGCTGCCCGTCTGTGTGTGCGGCAGAGTCTACTGAGAATACTGAAGCTGAAGATCGTGAGGCTGAGGCTGAAGGAAACGGCACCAGTTTAGTGCACTCTTTATCACAGTCTAAGCCCGAAGACGAAGATATTGGAAAGGCTGCCATTTCACCGTCCCTTGTACCTGAGGGACCACGTAAGGAAATCGGTAACTCAGGGTCGTTAGGTAATGGGTCCGGTGCGGACCTGGGAATTACTGCAGTAGCGGGACCAGCCCCGACCGCTGCAGGTCCGGAATCAGGTGACGTGTCTAACACGTTACAAAATCATGATACGGACGGTAATCCAGGACCAGAAATCAGCACAAGACAATCCGCAGAAGGAGCAAATCAGGAAGCCGAAGATCCTGCCGAGAAGACCACGACGACGACTACAACATATGCACCAACAACGATAACAACCACTACAACAAAGGCACCAACCACGAATACAGAGGCGCCAACTACGACGACCACCCGCGCACCGTCACGTCTTCGGGAAATCGACGGCAGCCTCAGCAGCTTTGCGTGGGTGTGTGCCCGGCTGCTGCTCGCCGCATCCGCGCTGGCGTACACCACAGTGGGCTAAAAGATGTGTGCGGGCTGTGCGTGCCAGCACTCAACCACGAGTATTTGTGCGCGTCAACTGTGGTCCGATGTACTAAATAATGGGATAAAGTAATGATCGTGTTTCGCTTTGCTTGCTTTCGCTTCATGCTGTGTTCTCCATTTTGCTGCTCTCGCATCCGTCATGTTGAACGCATTCCAGGTACAGTTACAAGCGCGACACGCACACGACTGTTTGCATCGATGCACTGTTGAGGATGGGTGCATGCGCACTGCAGCCATACTGTGCAGCTCTTTGTTTTTGTCTTTTTTCCTTTTGTGTTTTTACTCTTTTACGTTGTTGCTTTTTTTTAGTTTTTGTTTTTTTCTTTTGTGCGTCTTTTTTTTAAATTTTTGCATGTTGTTGTGCCTTTTTAAACTTTAATTGGCTTGATGTTTTTCATGAAGTGCGTGTTGCCTCTGCTGGCAGCTGTGAGTGTGTCGTGTCTCTCTCCTTTTCATTTCACTTTGCGTTGACGTGTTGTTGGTTTGTGCTGAAGGCTGCACGCAAGTGACAGGAGTGATGGCGATGGTGATGACTGGCCGTGTGCTGCTGGTGTGTGCCCTCTGCGTGCTGTGGTGCGGTGCTGCGACGGTGGTGTCATCGGCGCCTGATGCTACCCGTGCCCAAAGTGTTTGGCCTGAGTATTTGTTCCTAAATTGGCATGAACTCTTTAGGAACGAATGCAAGGTGGAAAAACCGTATGGGAATAATGAGGATTTGAAGGAGTTAGCCGTGAATTGCTGTGTGCGTGATGCAATGAATGAGCTTTGCAGCGCTTTTTACGGTAATACTGTCATGGAAAATAAGGACGCTAATGTTGAGGGTATTTGCAAAGAGTACGCTGGAAAACCAGATGATGTTGCTGATTGCCCAAAACCAAAAACCAACCTGTCGCCTGCTGCGGTAACTTTAGTGAAAGTATCAGTTCCAGAAGCACCGAAAGACAATGAAGAAGAATTGAGAAAGACACCGGAAGAAGCACCGACACCACTAGCGGGAACACCTTTGACGAATTCACTAGCAAAACCAACAAAAATATCACCATCACCGCCACTGAAAGGGCAACCCACCAATGCAGAGGAAGTGCCGGTGCCAAATTCAGAGGAAGGCTCATTGAACACGGGGCCAACAAACGATTCGGAAGAGGGGGACACTGACACAGTCACAGACACCGAGCAGGATGAGCCATCTAACAGTCAAGCCGATCCAACCACAACAACACCCACGGTTGCCAGGGATAATGGTGATAACGAAACGGACAAGGGCACTGGAGAAGATACTACGAACAATGCACCGGAACCCGATGTTGCCGGGACAGAGGAAAACCAAGAGGAAAATAAAACTAATAAACCGAAGGAAAGAACGCTCCAAGTTGCGGGTATAAAAACCACCACGGTGACGTCTGGCGAAAGTGACGGCGTCAAAGCCACCTCCCCTCTTTTGCTTCTTCTTGTTGTTGCGTGTGCGGCTGCTGCGGTGGTGGCCGCGTGAGAGTGAGGGAGAGAGAGCCGTGCACCGCCCGCACACACACTCTTCCTTCTCTCTCTGTGTGTCCCCTTGCATGGACTCTCGCCCTCACCTCACCCCACGAAGCACACACAATAATGTGCCCATTGTATATATGCATGCACACCCATGCAGGCCCGTTGGTGCTCTCTTTTGCACGACACGCACCGCTGCCGTCCTGCCTGGCTGCATGGGCGGAGAACCGTAACTGTTTCTGTTTTGTTGTTCTCTTATGATTGTTTTAAGTGTTTTTAATTTTTCTTTGCTGTTTGCTTTAAAATATTTTAAATGTTTTTTTTTTCTGGTTGTGTGATTTTTTTCTTAATTTCTTTTTATTTATGTGTGCGTGTGTTTCTTTTACTTTTTATTTTTCTTTTCTCACTTCCCCATCTCTTCTTTTTGCTTTTGGGGCAATCACTATGGACGTTTTTCTTTTCTACTCTTCCCTCTTTAATTATTTGTTGCTGCACTCTTCTTGTGAGGGGTGCCGTGTGTTTCCGCCCAACTGCTCCACTCGCACACCCACCGACACGCTCATGACGACGGCCCTGTGCGCCTCGCCTGCTGCACGCATGAGGAGGGGCCGCGACGAACGGCGCGCTGAGGGAGCCGTGACGTGTGGGCGTGCGACGAGGGCCTGTGGGGCGGAGCACACATTTCTTCCCTCCTGTTTTGTTTTCTTTGCGGCCAGGGCGGGCAGACACCCGCAGCGCCACACACACAGCCACACCCTGCCGCCGTGTTTTATTTAAGGATTGTTTTGCTTTGCGTGTTTATTTCATGCGGTGGCGCACCCTTCGGTGTCGGCCTCGTGAGCATTTCTCTCCCCTCCGATGATTTCTTTTTCTTTTGCTGCGCTCACTCTCCCGATGGAGTGACGCGACTGCCGTCATGTCTGCGTGCTTCTCTCAGTCCCCACACACACGAGTGACTGTGCTCTGCGGGCCGCACTCACGCGCCGATGAGAGGGCTGAGGGGAGCAGCAACACGCAGATGACCCCATGAAATATAAACGATGTGCGGACACACGGAGGGTCGGACGGTTGAAGCACACGCAACCATCTTTTAATTTTCTTTTGCGGGCAAAATACATACAGACAGTTTGGTGTGGCCACACGCAGCCAGGCGATTTTTTTCTTATTTTAAATTTGTGTGGAGCAGTAATGGACGATTTCTTTTTCATTTATAATTATTTTGTGTGGTGGGGTTTACATAAGACGAAGGGGGACGTTTTTTTGTTTTCAATAAATATTGTGTGGATTGCCACTGCTTGGGCTGCAGTGCAGTCATGAGTTTGAGCGGTCTTCTTGTTGTTGTTTTCGTTATTCGTCCCCGCTGTACATTTTTGTGCGTCCCTCCACATACTCTGCTCCCTCTTTTCTACTTCTTTGCTTTGTGTTGCTGCAGGCACACACAACCACAGGCACACAAGATGCACATTGCGGTGGATTTGAATGCACCTTTTGTAGTGCATGCTGGCAGTTGCGTGTGGCTGCTGCTTCTTCCGTGGCCATGAGGAGGAGGGAGAGAGGGAGTGCACCCGAGTCTATTTTCCTGTGGGTGTGATGCACCGCGTGTGACTGCGCTGAGTTGGGCTCCGTGTCCCATTGAGGGCGGGATGGCAGGAAATTTTTGTGCCGCGTCATGGATGGATGAGGGTTCGCTTGCTCCGTGTGCGTTGTGTGGTGGCCGCGGGGTTTTGCCATTTCCCTGGGGCTGCGGGAATGAGCTGGGGGAGATGGTGGTGGATGTCTTCTCCTCCTGCATGGTGGGTGGCTGCTGGCGTTGTGTGCCTTCCTTGCGTGGATGCCGTCTCGTGGTGTGTGGACTGTGCGGCTGGGCCTGCTGCCCTCTCCTCATATTGTCTGCGCTCTCTCTCGCTGTATCCGCTGTGCTCCGTCCCTCTCCCTCTCGTTCCATTCTTTTCCTTTCCGTCTCACCGATCGGCTGACTGACACCAGCGACTCCACTACGGGTGACGATGACTGCGATGGTGACGGTGCGGCGCCGTGTTGGTCCTTGCGCTCTTGTGCTGCTGCTGCTCGTCCGTGTGCGTGACGGCGACAGGAGACGATAATAATGATAACAGCCGTCCTCCCAGCCCTGCGCTAGGGAAACCGGATCCTACAAGAAACATGCCTGGTGCATTACAGCCATATGGTGGGGAGACCGGTGTGCCACAGACAGAGAGTGGGAGAGACAGCGAGGAGGGTTTGAGTATTCAGGACCTTCGTTGCCAAAGGAAGCAGGCACAGCCATCACTGGACAGACACGAGTTCCGCCAGAGTCACTGAGTTCGGCTAGCGATAATCCAGAGCCAGCAGGTTTGGCAACTCAGTCTCCACACACACACACAAGGTGCGACCGGTATGTCAGATGCACAAAATAAAAAGGAAGCAGTAAAATACACGAGGCGATGAGAATCATAAGGCAGAGATACAAAAATCAGAAGATCAAAATGTCAAATTTAAATACAACGCCAACCACGACGACCACCCACACACCGTCACGTCTTCGCGAAATCGACGGCAGCCTCAGCAGCTCTGCGTGGGTGTGTGTGCCTCGCTGCTGCTCGCCGTATCCGCGCTGGCGTACACCGCTCTTGGCTGAAGAGGTGTATGTGGGCTGTGCGTGCCAGCACTCAACCGCGGGTATTTATGTGTGCGTCTACTGTGGTCCGATGTAAATAAATAAGAGTAATTATGATGATTGTGTTTTGCTTCAATTGCTTCTGCTGCCCTGCTGTGTGCTCCGCGTTGTGCTGCTCCCTGTATTCGTCACGTTGAACGCATCCCAGAGACACTCGTATGCACGACACGCGTACAACTGTTTGCGTGGACGCACTGTTGAGAGAGGGTGCATGCACACTGGAGCCATTTGGTGCAGCTTCTTGTTTTTTGTTTTTTTGTGTTTTTACTGTTTTTCTCATTGCTGATTTTTTAATTTAGTTTGGTTTTTCCTTTTTTGTGTGTTTTTCTTGTTAAATCATTACAGGGCGTTGTGCGTTTTTGCACCTTTATTGGTTTAGTATTCCTCATGAAATGCGTGTTGCTGCTGCTGATGTTTTTTACTGTACCGTGTCTCTTCTTTTTCTCTCTGTTGACTTGTTAGTTTGTGCTGAAGGCTGCACGCAAGTGACAGGAGTGATGGCGATGACGATGACTGGCCGTGTGCTGCTGGTGTGTGCCCTCTGCGTGCTGTGGTGCGGTGCGGCCGATGGAGATGTTGTTGTTTCTTGTGGGGACGACCGCATTCTGAAAGAATTATTTATTCCAGTTGCGAGATTGAAGGCAAGACAAGAACAAGGAGCAGCAGAAGCAGCAGCTGACGCAAAGGCAGCGGCAGAAACAGCAGCAAAGGCGGCAGCAGCAACAAAAGCAGCAACAGAAGCAGCAGCAAAAGCAAAAGAAGCAGAGGCAGCAGCAAAAGAAGCAGAGACAGCAGCAAAAGAAGCAGAGACAGCAGCAAAAGAAGCAGAGGCAGCAGCAAAAGAAGCAGAGGCAGCAGCCAAAGCAGCAAAGGCAGTAGACACAGAGGAAAAAGCAAAAGCAGTAGCAGCAGCAACTGAATCAGCAGCAAAAAAAGCAACGACAGCATCAGAAGCAGCAGCAAAAGCAAAAGCAGCAGCAGAAGAAGCAAAGGCAGCAGCAGAGGCAGCAGCAACGGCAACAGAAGAAGCAAAGGCAGCAGCAGAGGCAGCAGCAACGGCAACAGAAGCGGCAGAAGCAGCAGCAGAGGCAGCAGCAACGGCAACAGAAGCGGCAAAAGCAGCAGAGGCAGCAGCAGAGGCAACAGCAGAGGCGGCAAACGCGGCAACAGCTGCAGCAAAAGCATCAGCAGAAGAAGCAGCAGAAGAAGCAGCAACAGCAACACTAATAGCAACATCAGCAGCAAAAGCAGCAGAAGAAGCAGCAGAAAAGGCAGCAAAAGCAAAAGAAGCAGCAGAAACAGCCGAAGCAAAAGCAGCAGCAGCAGAAAAAGCAGCAGCAACGGAAGCGGACGCAAAAGCAACAGCAGCAAAGACAGCAGAGGCACCAGCAACGGCAACAGAAGCGGCAAAAGCACTGCGAGGTAAAGCAGTCGGAGAAGAGGAGGTAAAAACAGCAGTACATGATCAGGATAATTCAGTCGAACACCATACTGGAGAAAAACAAGAGCTTCCAAAAGAAGAAGAACCGGAACGACAAGAAAACGAACAGCATGAAAAGCAGCAACACCAACAGCGTGAACATTCCGCAGGAAATGGCGACGAATCCGCGAAAAACAAAACTGCTAATACTACAAATGCAACCGCAATTAAGGACGACAGCAACAGCAGCACTGCCGTCTCCCACACCACCTCCCCTCTCTTGCCTCTTCTTGTTGTTGTTGCGTGTGCGGCTGCTGCTGCGGTGGTGGCCGCGTGAGAGTGAGGGAGAGAGAGCCGTGCACCGCCCGCACACATACTCGTCCTTCTCTCTCTCTGTGTGTGTGTCCCCTTGCATGGACTCTCGCCCTCACCTCACCCCACGAGGCACACACATAATGTGCCCATTGTATATATGCATGCACACCCATGCAGGCCCGTTGGTGCTCTCTTTTGCACGACACGCACCGCTGCCGTCCTGCCTGGCTGCATGGGTGGAGCACCGTAACTCTTTCTGTTTTGTTGTTCTCTTATGATTGTTTTAAGTGTTTTTAATTTTTCTTTGCTGTTTGCTTTAAAATATTTTAAATGTTTTTTTTTTTCTGGTTGTGTGATTTTTTTCTTCATTTCTTTTTTCTTTTTGTTTTTTTGTTAATTTTTTTGCTTTTATCTCACTGCCCCATCTCTTCTTTTTGCTTTTGGGGGCAATCACTATGGACGTGTTTTTTCTTTTCTACTCTTCCCTCTTCTAATTGTTTGTTGCTGCATTCTTCCTGTGAGGGGTGCCGTGTGTTTCCGCCCAACTGCTCCACTCGCACACCACCGACACGCTCATGACGACGGCCCTGTGCGCCTCGCCTGCTGCACGCATGAGGAGGGGCCGCGACGAACGGCGCGCTGAGGGAGCCGTGACGTGTGGGCGTGCGACGAGGGCCTGTGGGGCGGAGCACACATTTCTTCCCTCTTGTTTTGTTTTCTTTGCGGCCAGGGCGGGCAGACACCCGCAGCGCCACACACACAGCCACACCCTGCCGCCGTGTTTTTCTTTAAGGATTTGTTCTGTTCTTTGTTTTTTTGTGGATGTGAGTGCGTTGCCACCGTGCGTGATTGTTGAAGTTGGGCCGTGCCGCATTTGTCGCTGCTCTCCAGTTGTCTCTGTTGCTGTGTTGATGTGCCTCCCTGTTCTCCTCTTCTCTTCTGCTCCTCCAGCACACACACATATATATACTTAGTTGCACGGTGCTCTGCAGGAATGTCTTGGTGACGGTGGGACGTTGGCCTGCATCCCGTGCTGACATAGTATGGTCGCTGCGAGTCTACCGTTAGCAGTGGGAATCACGGTGTCATTGGATGGATGCGTGTGGTACGTTTGTTGCATAGTGCTGGAGGCCGACTGACGCCACTGCACGATGCCCGCCATGTGTGAAGGTGTTGCCTGCTCTTGGGACCATTCTTCTTTCTCCTGTGTGTTTGCTCTGCCGGGTGCAGGCGTTGCTTGGTGTGTGCTGACGCGTGACGGACGATGCCACGATGGCCGTCTCTGGCAATGACAGTCGCTGTGCTTTCGGCACACATCCACAAGACTCTTTATTGTCTCTCTGTGCGAGCGATTGCAGCAGGGCATTGCTGCGGGCGTGACGGGGACCACGACGGCGTCACCCCTCGAGAAGATCCCACGCTCTGTCGGTTGTGGAGCGGCGAGGCAGTTTGCCTGCAGCCCGACTGACAACCGCACAGTCGTTTCATTGCGGTCATTTTGCCGCCATCACCCGCTGCGGTGGTGTCCTCAATAGCCGCATCTCAGAACTTTAGGCCGTTCTCCCCTCAGGATTGCCCTTGCTGCTTGACTGGCGCAGCACCGGCCCGAAATGGCTCTTCTGCAGGAGTGCAGGCACCAGAGTGCCAGCGACGAGGCTCATTGTCTGCATTGACTTCCACCAGGCCTGCAGTGGGTGTGCCGGTGGCGTGGCCTTCGTTGTGCGCCACACCTTTCCGTGCGAGCGCCTGTCGCTGCTGGAACCAACTGCCTGGAGACCACCGCCTTCTGCGTGTGCCCACCGGCCAGCCCCAGCATGTACGTGGTGAACCTCTGCAGCCTTCCTACAGTAATTGCTCACGCTGCTCACTCTGCGAGCACCATTCTTTGTCTTGTTCCTGCAGAGCCTATTGCGGACGACCTGAATTCACACCATGAGCTGCGGGACGGTTGCTCATCATCCACGACGTCAGGAGAGGACCTCGCCACCTCCTCAAGCGGCATGGAGTGTGAGCTGTCCGACGACCCGGCACAGGCAACTCGGATTAGCAGCCGCAGCGTCTCGTTTCCCAATGTGAATGCGCAACGCGTGCTGCATGTCTCCCACTGGACGTCCACCCGTTTACATGGACTCGGACCACCATCTGCCATCCCAAACTGCAGGGACGGAGGACGGCCTCTCGCGACAGGCAGGCATGCTGCCACAACGGAAACATGTCGCCCTTTTCCTGCGTGAAGCCGACTGTGATGCTTCCATCTAGGCGTGTGGTAACACCTCTGGCCACTGTGAACACATGGTTGGAGATGCGCAAATGTACCATACCGCGCGGCCGTCGTGACAGCCCACAAAAATCACGACGGACGGAATGTATCAGGCCGAGTCTGTTGCGGCGACAGCATGCAGCGAGCGTACTTTCTTACCGGGAGGCAGCCTGCCCCGTGCTGAAGCTCTCCGCAAACGGGAGGACCGCAATCATGCCCTCCGCCGTGTTTTCTCCATGCTGCCAGAGGTCCGCGCGAAATAGCCTGGTACTCTCTCGAGCCCAAGCCTGTGGTGCTCCGAGGCATGGCGGCACCACGTCCACGCCCTCCGGGATCGGCTGGGCTGCGGTGCTCTTGGGACCGCGTCTGTGCTCTGCCTCTGCAGCGGGCAACCCGCTCGTCCGTCACACTGTCCGCGTCGCACTTGCTGCGATCCTCACTGTTGTCCGCACACCTTGTGCTTGCGTGCCCTCTGATGACTGAGGTATGAATTGGCCCTTCACGCCGTGTGTGCCTGACTCGGCCATCCGCGACTGTTTGCCTGGCATGGCCCCTGGACCCGTCGGCGTATTGAATGAGTTTCTGCGCCATCTTGCACCGCTGCTTGCACAGAACGATTATCAATACCTCCCTTGCTGACGGCAGCCTGCGAGGTTCCCGGGAAAAGAGGGACACCACTCGCATCCACAGACACGGGAAGGACACATGCCGCACAGGGAGAGTTGCCGGCCCATCCCGCTGCTCTCTGCCCTGCTAGGGGCGGCGTCCCGCGCTGCACCGTCGCCGTCACCGTTCTCTCGCCGTCCGGATCGGCATCTCGACTGCGTTCGACACCGCGGACGATGGGTGAGTGCTGGCCGTGCTCGACGGGCTACCGCGCCTGGGCCGTCGCTCCCAACGCTGGTGGCGCAATCACCTGCGAGGCGGCGGCGTTGGGTGAGTGCTCGCCGAGAATATTCCTGACAGCGGCTCGCCTCAGCCGTGGCAGCCCAATGCAGCTTCCTTGGACCGCAGCTCCTACTCCACCGCGTGGATGGTCTGTTGCACCGCCTGTACAGCATTCACTTTGCGTCGGCGTTCATTCACGCTGACGGCCGCACGCTTGTTGCCTTGTGTGCAGACATCCGTGTCCGTGCTGCGGCAATGCCAACTGTCGTTTCCCTTGTGGCCACATTTGCTGCCGAGCACAGCCTGAATATCAACGCGGACAGGAGCGGGGCCGCTCTGTTCTGCATCGCCTCACACCGACAGTCTGACGAGGACACGGCCGACCATCGCCCAGACGATGGGAACCAACGCGTCAAGTCCCACCCGGTGCGTCTGCTCGGCAATGCGATTGATCGACACCTCAATTTTGTTGTGCATGTCACCGTTGCTGCGATGCGGACCGTGCCACGCCGCCATCAGCTGCGGCTGGGTGCAGAGGCTGGGGCGTCCCAGCACACCACGCAATACTTTCTGGTTGGATGCGTCCACAATGCGCTGCACCGCGGCGGCGAGGCAATCGCACCGTGTCCGGTCCCCGTTCACCTCCACAGCCTGGAACTGCGGCACCGCGACAGCTGCGCTGCATCGCTTGGTCCACGCGCATCAAAGAAGGATACTTCTGTCCACCTGGCCGCCAATCCAGCACCGCTGCGGAGGACCATTGGGTTCCGCGCACCCACACAACACGAACGCCTTACACTTTTCCGATGTATTGAGGAAGTGTGTGGCGCAATCCGCTTGGAGGCCACGCCGCCGTCCATGCATGAAAAGCGGCGACATCAATCCCGCTTCCGAGAGATGCTGTTATTAATGGATTGCTACGCGTCTGTGACATTATTGGGACACCCCACAACCACAATCGTGCTCCTCCTATTCAACATCGTATTTTCCCTGGGACACTGTGAGCTGCAATAAAGTGGAATTTAATCAGCCACGCTTTGCCCAAGACGCCTCTGACGACGTCAAGCGCACGGCTTTTTATTCTACTCACTCCTCTTTGGGGGATTGTGATTTTGAATTGTGGACGGACGGTCCTTCATATCTCGCTGCCCTCGCATCTGGATCCGCTGCGCTATTATATGACTCCACCACGACAACCGATCTCCCTGTGGAGGTACATCGTGCAGCAGCTGGCAGCCTCGCATGCTCATATAGGGAAGACTGCCTTGCGATCGAAAATGTTTTTAGACATCTCATACCTCCTTGTCTGGAAACACCCCAATCGCCCACACGAATGCTGGAGGAAACGGACTCCCTCTAGGCAATTGAGGCACCCCGCGTTGCCCACCGACCGTGCGAGACCGCGTTACTGAGTAAATTTGGATTATGCTGCTTTCCTTGGTGAAGCGAGGTCACCCTGTGGATTTTATATTTTCCCATCACACTGCGGTATTCCACGCAGTGAGGCCGCTGACAAACAAGCCACGATTGCACGATTCCTCTCGCAGGACTGCGTCAATGCCTGGCACGTGGACTTCCTTACCGCCGTCAAGAGGTTATAATGGAAGGATGCCCAGGAGGAAAAGGAAGGCGCGCACACCGCGTGACAGGCGCCCGTCGGTGTGGCGAGGACTCTATTCCTGGTGTTGGCCCGGACATCGTGCCCCGAGTGGCGGCACTGCGCACAGGCGCGATGCGACACCCGCCCACTCTTCAACAGGCCTGCACGCGCCCTGCGGATCACAAGGCACCCCCTGTGTCGGTGGTGCCGTTCCTCCCTCACTGCGGTGACCGGCCCGCCTCTGCCTCCGCCGGAACCTCTTCCCGACGTGAGC